GGAGAGGAAGGAAATTTGAGGCACGGGGAGAGGAAGGAAATTGGAGGGGAGAGGAAGGAAATTGGAGGGGGGGAGAAGAAGGAAATGAGAGGGAGAGGGAGAAGAAGGAAATTGGAGGGGGGGAAGAAGGAAATTGGAGAGAGGGAGGGAGGGAGAGAAGAAGGAAATTGGAGGGAGAGGTGGAGAGATTGACATCCATCACACACAATGCACCCCTTGCACACAGAAAAACACACAATGCATTACACACAGACACACGTACACAAGCAATGCACCCCTTACACACACTCAATGCATCCCTTACAGACGCACACACTGCATCCCATACATACACAAACTCACCTTGCAGCCCTTACACATACAAACACAGATTCACACAATGCATTCCTTACACACATCAGGACATCCCCCACACACACACTCCACCCCTGTGAACAAACTCATTGGTGGAACATGAAGGTGGACCCTGGGACCCAGACCTTGAGCTGTGTAAAGGACCCCCAAAAAATGCAGCTGCTTCCCGTTCTCCCAGAACATTGATTTTTTGTGACCACAGTTACAAACCGCCTCCAGAGAGCCTGTTCTGCACCAGACCAGTGGAGCCAGACTGCAGCTAGAGCCCATCATCATCCTCATCTGGTTGTAAGTAGGCAATCTAGTATATTATTCGTGGCACTAATCTCTAATTTACCTCACATTAAAGGACCACTATAGTGCCAGGAAAACATACTCGCCCAGCTCTGGAAAGGAGAAAAGGGGATAAACTTACCTTTTTCCAGCGCTGGGCAGAGAGCTCTCCTTCTCCGATCCTCCTTCTCTCCTCCCCGTCGGCTGAATGCGCACGCGCCGCAAGAGCTGCGCGCGCATTCAGCCGGTCACATAGGAAAGCGCCTCTAGTGGCTGTCAATGAGACAGCCACTAGAGGATTAGGGGGAAGGCTTAACCCATTCTCTGAAACTGCTATGTTTATGAAAAAATGGGTTAACCCTAGCTGGACCTGGCACCCAGACCACTTCATTAAGCTGAAGTGGTCTGGGTGCCTAGAGTGGTCCTTTAAAGGGACACTATAGTCCCCAGAACCACTTCAGCTTAATGTAGTGGTTCTGGTATCTATAGCCTGTCCCTGCAGGCCTTTTAATGTAAACACGGTGGCACTGCAGCACTGGTGTTAGTTAACATGGCAGATCATATGGGTGGGGCATTGTGATGTCACATGGGGGTGGCAAACTTTACTTTTGCCTAGGGCGGCAAAAATCCTTGCACCGGCCCTGCAAACACTGCATCCCTGTGGGCGGACTTGGGGGGGGGGAGGAGGGGGGACAGCACTTTGGGCGGACTCGGGTGCAGGCACCGGGGATACAAAAAAGGAGATAGGTGTAGCGCTGTATACATACATATAATAAGGTTGCAGACTCGGGTTCAGGCACCGGGGAGCCCAGACCTTGAGCTGTGTCAGGGGCCCCAAAATTTCTGATGGCAGCCCTGAGAGTTATTACGTGCAAACTCAGCCCAGGGAAGGAAATCAGACTTTTTGTCTTGGTTATGGGAAATAAAGCACCGCAAGTAATTTTCAAGAGACTGGTAAGCCCTTTCAGTGGCACAATTGGACTGTGGGTGGTAAGCAAAAGAATAGGACATCTTGATGCCCAACTCAGTACAAACGTTCTTATTAAGAAATCTGTAGCCAATACAGGGCCTCAAGTCACCCTTAGTTTTCTTGATGGATAGGGCATGTTAAACATAGATGGCACCTCTATCCAAAACAATCTCTTGAGGGAGCTCAGGCAAACAGAACACCTCTTTGGCAAAAATCAAAGCCAATTCGGAAGAGGTAGGTAATTTGGTGAGAGGGATTAGATGCACCATTTTAGAAAATCAATCAATAACTTTCAAAATAGTAGTATCACCTTTGGCTTTCGGTAGGTCAACAATAAAATCCATTGCTAAATGTGATCAAGGTACGTCTGGGATAGCTAAAGGTTGTAATAATCTGCAAGGCAGACTTCTATTAGTTTTGATTTTAGCACAGGTCACACAGGCAGTGATATACTCTCGAGTATCAGTATTTAATGTAGGCCACCAAAATTGTCTAGAGATAGTGTAAATAGTTTGATGGATGCCAAGGTGACCTGCAGTAATGTTGTCATGAAACAAAGAAAAAATACTAGGTCTTTCTGAATCTGGTACAAACATCGGGGGGCTTTTCGGGAGGAGCTAATGCTTGTCCTGCCTGTATTTTTTCTAACAAGCAAGACGACAAGGACAGAACGGTCATTGCTACGATACGTTCTGAGGGAATAATAGAAGATATAACCTCTTTACTATAATCATCTGTATCGAATTGTCTGGACAAGGCGTCAGCCTTTATACTCCTGTTACCTGGTCTGTAAGTTAATATATGATTAAATTTGGACAACAACAAAGACCACCTTGGTTGTCTGGATGATACCAATTTGGCTTCACTGATGTATGCCAGATTCTTATAGTCGGTTATAATCATAATAGGATCACTCTAAGAGATGTCTCCCTTCTTTAAGAGCTAGAACGATGGCCAGTAATTCATGATTACCAACATCATAGTTTTGTTTAACAGGAGACAACTTCTCAGAGAAGAAACCACAACGGTGTAGTGGTTTGTCAGAAGATTCTCTTTGAAAAAGTTCAGCACCAACCCACATTTCAGATGCATTAACCTCTAAAACAAATAGTTTAGAGGTGTCAGGATGTTGAAGAACAGGGACAACATTAAACAAGGATTTTAATCGGTTGAATGCTGACAAGGCATTGGGAGGCCAGGATTTTGTATTATCCCATTTCCTAGTTGATTGTTGATAGGCGCTGTCACTGATGAAAACCCTTGGATTAATCTACGATAGTAGTTGGCAAAACCCACAAATCGCTGAATGGCTTTCAGACCTTTGGGTAAGGGCCAGTTCAATACGGCTTCTAAATTTTTAGGGTCCATAGAAAAACCAGATGAAGAAATAATGTACCCCAAGAATTGAACCTCAGTCTGACCCAGTCTCATACTTACAATTTTTTTTTTTTTTTAACATAATGTATTTTTATTAATTCTTCCACTTGTTATGCTCACACAGTAAACAATATTAAGTACAGCAAAAATGTGTGAAATAATATATTTACTTTAAACAGGGTTCCGATCACGGTTTATTTAAAACTAGCACAATGAGAACTATTCGTACATATTTAATGCATTTCATTTCCGGATATCTAAATGATCTAGGACTAGGTTATTACGATTGTTTTATTGCATCATATAAACAATAGGGAAATTAAACCTGATCTTCCTTTAAAGAACAAACACTTGTATCTGCTGTCTAAACGTGACGCCCACCAGCTACTGTATTCAGTGACAGATTCCTGAACTTCTCGGAGAACGTGACAATATATAGAATATATAGAAGAACTGGCACTAGGTAAATTAGATAGAACTCACGATACAGGCATGGAAGGGCTGGCAACTTTTGGTCTCAAGGGCAAATGCAGATGAATCGTCTTTTTTGCATGTGAAACTCATAGTTCTAATATCCCAGGAAATATCCTAGTGGGTGAGTGCAGGCCTGGAGAGTATAATCCCATACAGTGCTCTTTCTTCGAGTACTTTGCTAACTGATATCCCAACAACCTCTCTGATGTTATTAATTAACAGACGAAAAGCGTGAGGTTGCAGCCCACAACCCCATTAATGCTTGCCCCCCTGCCCCAATTGCCAGCTCTCCTCTATTTGCAGGAGCATAATGAACCCATTTAAAGGGACACAGAAAGCAACAAAGCAACCTTAGCCCAATGAAGCAGATTAGGTAATAAGGATCATGCCCCTGCAGTCTCACTGTCCAAATCTCTGCAAATCTGGAGCCAAATCACCTATTCCATACAGCCCCAGCCACACCTTCCTGCATGTGACTCTGATTGTTTATTTTTCAATCAGAACTTACAGTACAGTGCGTTTACTTTAGACGTTGTTTAATCTCCTGCTCTGTTAATTTACAGATTGTGCAATAAAGAAGGTTTAAAGATTAGATGTCTCTTTACAGAAAATGTGTAGAGAGACTATGTAGGTCGCATGCATGGAGGTGTGACCAGGGCTGCACAAACAAAGTGACTCAACTCCCAAACGGCAGAGAATCGAGCATTTAGACAGCCGAGGCATGATCTATACACAAAAACATCTCCATTCAGCTACTGTTGTCCTGGTGTTTATGGTGTCCCTTTAAACGGTTTTGAAACCATTTCAGGCTATTGTTCTGACTTTGCACTGATTGCCCTGTAATTTGACAACGTGTGATACTGAATGTTAAAAATAAGGAAATTTTGTTTACAATGTACAAACATCATTTGAACATTTCACAGAGTATTCTAATAAGAACGTCACAGTGGATTGGAATGTAGGTCATTTCACAGATATTTGGAATGCAGAATTTTACAGTGAATTGGAATGGGGGGCAGCACATAGTGGTTTGAAATAGGAAAAGTTTCATTGGATTGGAAGGGGTGTAATGTCAAAGAGATGTGTACTGGGAAAATTTCACTGTGAATTGGAATAGGGAGTCACTTCTTTCTCACCTCTGACTGTTTTTCTGTTGGTTAGGAAGTTCCTCAACAGGGGGTGGATCAACATAGTCAGTGTAAGGGGAAAGGGACATGTGAAATGCATTGGTAGAAGGGTGAAAAGCTAGCCGATGCGTTAGGTTTTCTATTACAGCAGCAGGTGAGTTAGACATCAGAGGAGGATACTGGTAAAGTGAAGCATTCCTTGGGTCTATCTCTGTGAGTGATGGAAGCTCAGCATCTCTGGCATTTGTAACACGTAGAAAAAGCTCTGCTTTTCCAACCTGTGGGACTGTGTTGAGTTGTCCAGTACTCAGTCCTGGCCTCAGTGGTAATGCTCTCACCGGCAGCGTCCAATGTCCACTCAGCACCTGATTGTGTTGGTCAAACAGATCCAGCTTTGACCACCCGCAGGAAGAAAGATGTTGGACCACCTGGCCATATGGGTTGAACCCCCCTGAGGCCTGCAGCTCCATAACTAGAGCAATGGAAGATGCTGGACGAACCCTGGGTATTGGTTGCTTTGTGGCCAACATGGCAATGTTCCCTTTCGGTGCATTAGTCAGGTGTTGCGGAGAATGCCACATCTCACAGGGCTCGTCAGGCAGGGAAGTGGTTTGGCCCATCCTGTGTCCATTACTATACAGCCCGCTGAGTAGACGCACTTTCTGAAAGGTTGGCTCCAATCCAAGAAGAAAGTCATAGAATATGACAAAGCCAGCCACAGGGTCATATGGTGCGGGACCCAGTGCGTCTAAAGGCTCCATAATGTGTCTGTTTGCTGCCGGGCTTGGAGGTCTCATGGAATCAAGCCCTCCTGTTACAATGGCAGCTTCTGGTCTCCCAGGTAGTTTTTTAGTTGGATGCATGGGTGGAAGCATTGGTGGTGGCATGAGAGGTACAAAAGGTGGAGGCCCTTGAAGGGCTCGAGGGGGCATTCTGACGACATCCCGTCTTAACATCCCAATGTCAGCTTGGAGCTGGGCCATTTGTTGAAGATTCTCCCGATGCATCTCAACCATTTCAGAATCCCAATTGGCCACCTTCTTCTCTCTTAGCAACTTCAGGTTAAAGATTTCTTCTTCCAGTCGCTGGTTCTCCATTTCCACAGCCATCAGCTCCACGTCCAGCCCACTGGGGCCCCATCATGTCGTTTCTACTTTTTCTCTTTCCGCTCCTGTTTGAGAGTGATTCTTTCAAAAGTCAAAGCCGAAGTATAATAAAATCTGGTCTAAATGGTTTGAATATTATAAAAAGGAAATTTGACCCATAACAAATTTGCTGGGCATAGATAGATAGTTGTAAACACTGTGGTTGCACCTGTCTCTTTCTGCTCAACCTCAACTATCTGATGTCCGTCCTCCCAACCCTCCCCCCCGCCCCTTCTTCCACCAGGGCACAATTTGATCATCCTCTCTCTGACAAACTTAGACTCAAGCACAACTAACTTAGGATGTTGTCTTTTTTATTTTTTATTTTCTTCTTTGTGAGTATCTGTAATCTGATTTCTAACATGGTATATGGCAATGTGTGGTTTTAGAGTATTTATAAATATAGTGAACCCTTGATATGTTAGATTAAGGGATTTCACTATCTACAGTTTATTTATATTCTACCTAGAAGTTCTTAATATTATCTGTCTGAAGCCATTTATTTCACACATAATTGTGTCATGTCTTTGCCAGAAAGTTAAATTGGTGAAACCTTTGAAACATGATCTTGCAATCATTATATTTCTGACTACTAGATCTAATTATATTATATGTATGCACTTTATTATGTCTCGATGATGTCAGTGGTTTAATATGAAACTCTTATTGTTCATCGATAAATTTCCTGACTGTCTGTCTTGTTATTTTGAAACTTAATAAAAATCATTTATTAATAAACAAAAGTGAAAGCCCGTGCCTGCAAGTCCCGCATCTGGGCCAAGACGGATGGGTCGCTGCCTCCACTCTGGACATATGCCAGTTGCAGTGCGCTAATTTCGGAGGAAAACGAGGTTCCACGGGCAGGAAAAGGTATGAATTGAAGAGCTGGTTTCTCTTTTTTAGCTGGGTGCCCTTTCCTTCTTCGATATCTCTGTTTTGATTCTGCTTTCTTATTGAATGAGTCCAACCTGGTCTCACAAGTCATCCAAAGCCATCTGATTCCCTCCCTTCTGGACCTTCAGTTCTAGAAGTATTTGCTCAATGTGACCGGTTGAAGATCCTGCGTTGGCAACATCTGAAAGGCGCTGACGGATTTCTGAACAAGACACCAAAGTAATCTAGTTAATTTATTCATTAAACAACGATTTGTTGTGTGTTAATCCCAGAGCTACTGGAGTTAGGTCAAGACGCACCTATAATACATTAATCCATGGATCGGAGGAGTCTCTACTGAACTTTGAAAAGTAAGATAGCTACAATACATAATTCTATACCAGGCCCTGAGTTCTACTGTACATTTGAGTCCCCTTTCCTTCATTTATTGTACAGGAAAATTAAATGAATGGCTCTGTGTTTAGTGATAAAACATTTTGTCTATTTAATTCTGTCTATTTAATGTACTTGACTTTGGCCCAAATTTATCAAACGGAAAATGACTACATTATGGGGCAATGATCTAAAAGAGAGCAGTCTCTATAGAAACCAATGTAACGTTCCTCCATTTTTAAAATGTTGTCCAACTATGGGATGCGATAGAAAGATATGCTATTGGAAGGCCCATAATTCCCCTTTGCTGTAGTTAAATTTTTATTTTTTTATTTTTTTTTCAGACTTGCACCAGCCCTTCGTACATGAAGTACACTTAAACCAGTCTTTTGGCATGGTAAACTGTCATCATCAAAGTGTCTCTTCTTTTCTTTTCTTTTTTCTCCCTTTTTTTTCCCCCTTTTCCTTTCATTTTTTTTCTTTTATATCTTATGCTATTTCCAGCATTCACACGATGTTGTGGGGAAGATCTTCTTCAGACGTTGGGGTGTTAGATACCATCTATTTGATAACGTAAACTGGGTCTCAATTATGTTTAAACAATGAATATTCTTATTCAATTTATTTAAAGAATTTTTCCATTGATGTGCTTCTATATTCGTTTGTAGATCTTTTTCCCATTTTTTGATCACTTCTATTGTTTTATCATGTCTCCAGCCATATATAATTTTTACACATTTAGTCATTGGGTTTTTATAATTCTTTAGTTCAAATAAATGTATAAGGTTGCTAGTGCCCTCTTCATTGCTTGTATGTACATGTTTTGTTACAATTAGTTACTGAGTTTAAGCTAACTTAAGCTATTCGTAAATAGTTAAACCTTTGGTAAGAGGAGATGTTAAATCCAGTCACGATTTGGGAAAAGGATTTCAATTTACCTTCTGCCATGATATCTCCATAATCCCCCACCCCTTTCTCAGACCATGAATCTATTCTTAGATTTTCCAATATATCTTCAATAGTGATGTCCCGAACTGTTCGCCGAACGGTTCGCGAACGGTTCGCCTCGGACTCATCATTGAATAAACTTTGACCCTGTACCTCACAGTCAGCAGACACATTCCAGCCAATCAGCTGCAGACCCTCCCTCTCAGACCCTCCCACCTCCTGGACAGCTCACTAAGAATGCAGCTTCACAATGGATGCTGTCCAGGAGGTGGGAGGGTCTGGGAGGGAGGGTCTGCTGCTGATTGGCTGGAATGTGTCTGCTGACTGAGAGGTACAGGGTCAAAGTTTACTCAATGATGAGTCCGTGGCGAACCGTTCATGGCGAACCGTTCGCGAACCGTTTGGCGAACAGTTCGGGACATCACTAATCTTCAATAGTCGTGAAAGGGAGGGCAGTTATTATTTTATTTCTAAGACCTTTCTTACTTGTAAATTTGTTCCACCATCTCGTCAGTTCTTCGAGTATCCTGGATTTGCTGGACACCTCTCTCATGATATTTCTGTTTGTATCAACCGTCCAGAATAGTGAGGCTAAATTCCTTACACCGGTCATAATAGTTCCATCTTATACCAATTTTCTTTGATAGCCGCTCTGTTCTGTGTAAGCATTATGTGGAACAATCTGCTGGCCTGGTAGCACTGGAAGACTTTTGGGCATCCCAGCCCTCAGTCCTGCTTTGCTCTAGCCAGTAATTTCATCTTTACGTTTGGTTTCTTATCACTCCAGGTAAATTTAATGAAGGACCTATGCAATAACGACAACCAAGTGATTGGAATCATTCTCCATATAGATAGCCACTTTGGTAGGACATATGATTTTAATATGTTAATCCTTCCTGACCATGAGAATCCCAGATTTTTCCAGTCTTTCAGTTTTTTGTTTGTGTCTTTTTTAGCAATGGAAGGAAATTGGCTTCTACCATGTCTTTTAATAGTGGGGTTATGATAATGCCCAGGTACTTCAACTTGTCCGTATTTCCGGCTAGACCATTACATAGTTACATAGTTACATCGCTGAAAAGAGACTTGCATCCATCAAGTTCAGCCTTCCTCACATTTGTTTTTTGCTGTTGATCCAAAAGAAGGCAAAAAAAACAGTTTGAAGCCCAATTTTGCAACAAGCTAGGAAAAAAATTCCTTCTTGGCCCCAGAATGGCAGTCAGATTTATCCTTGGATCAAGCCGTTATTACCCTACATTGAAAGATTATATCCTTGAATATTCTGTTTTTGCAAATATGCATCTAGTAGCTGTTTGAACATCTGTATGGACTCTGATAAAACCACTTCTTCAGGCAGATAATTCCACTTCCTGATTGTTCTTACAGTAAAAAAACCTTTCCTTTGCCTTAGACGAAATCTTCTTTCTTCCAGTCTAAACGCATGGCCTCGTGCCCTATGTAAAGTCCGGTTTGTGAATAGATTTCCACACAATGGTTTGTATTGGTCCCGAATATATTTGTATAATGTTATCATGTCCCCTCTCAGGCGACGTTTTTCTAAACTAAATAGGTTTAAATTTGTTAACCTTTCTTCATAGCTGATATGTCCCATTCCTTTTATTAATTTTGTAGCCCGCCTCTGCACTTTTTCTAGTGCCATAATATCCTTCTTTAGAACAGGTGCCCAAAATTGCACAGCATATTCAATATGTGGTCTTACCAGTGATTTATAAAGAGACAAAATGATATTCTCGTCCCGAGAATGAATGCCCTCCTTTTTCATGCATGACAATAACTTACTGGCCTTGGCCACTGCTGATTGACATTGCACATTGTTGCATAGTTTATTGTCAATAACAATTCCCAAGTCCTTTTCGTGTGTTGTTATCCCTATTTCGCTTCCATTAAGGGTATACGTTGCGTGTGTATTCTTTACACCGAAGTGCATAACTTTGCATATTTCAACATTAAATTTAATCTGCCATTGGAGTGCCCAGTCCCCCAGTGTATCTAAATCCATCTGCAGCAAAGTAATATTTTGCTCACATTGTATTATTTTACAAAGTTTTGTGTCATCTGCAAACACTGAAACATGACTTTCAATGCTGTCTTCAAGATCATTTATAAACATGTTAAATAGAAGGGGTCCCAGAACAGACCCCTGAGGGACACCACTTGCCACCTCTGTCCAGCTTGAAAATTTACCATTAATGACAACTCTTTGTACTCTGTTTTTAAGCCAATGTTCTACCCAAGAACAAGCATTTTCATCTAGACCGATTTCCTTGAGTTTGAACACTAATCTATTGTGTGGAACTGTATCAAATGCCTTGGCAAAATCCAAATAGATCACATCCACTGCAACACCCTGATCTATACTTCTACTTACTTCTTCGTAGAACGCAATCAAGTTAATTTGACATGACCTGTGCTTCATAAAACCGTGCTGATTTTTGCTGATAACCATGTTCTTCTCAAGGAATTCTTGAATATTATCCCTTAATAACCTTTCAAATATTTTCCCAGCCACAGAAGTTAAGCTCACAGGTCTATAATTTCCAGGCAAGGATTTTGAACCCTTTTTGAATATAGGACCACATCTGCCTTCCTCTAATCCTCCGGAACACTTCCTGAAAGAAAAGAATCTTGAAAGATTAAAAACAGAGGTTCACTTATTCCTACACTTAGTTCCTTAAGTACACGTGGATGGATACCGCCAGGCCCTGGAGCTTTGTTTATATTAACTTTCT